TTTCTAGAATATTAGAAAATCAAACTCGAATTTCCAGTATTTATAAAATCGACGCCGAATTTTGATATTTTTGGAAATTCTATGGCGATTTTCTGAATAAAATGAAAAGTCAATTTATAGAAAATCGCGAATTTCTAAAAAGTCAGAAAATCTACGAGCATTTTATAAATATCAGAAAAAGCTCCACGATTTTCCAGATCGATTTTCTATAAACTAGAAATTAATTCCAAATTACAGTGTATTCGCATTTTTGATAGGATTTCCGTGTCATCTCCTAGTCGACATATTGTCAAAAAAATTCTTAATGAAGTCCAAAAAGTTCAAGTATTTAAAGACTCTGTCGTCTAAAAGTAAAAATTCACCAATGCTACAGATCGAAGTTTCATATGCCACAGTTCGAAAGTTCAGGCTCTGACGAAATGTAATCAGATTCTCTGCAAGTCCTTTTGATTCAGAAAAAAGGCTTCTCTCTGTAAAGATGACATAATGGGGTATGAGTCAGGAGAATATTTGTAACTCGTAGACTAAAAACTTTCACAAAAAAAGGGCTTTTAGCATTCTATTCAACAGATTCTCATAAAACGAGACATAACAGTAAAATTTGGCTAATGAATGACCGATGGTGCAGCCTTTTACGTCCGACTAATAAGGGTCAGAAATTAAGAGGAGGTTGGCTCTCTACAGCCTAAGAGTACCTTCCACTACTGTAATCAGAGCACTATAGACATTTCATACGAAATATTCCCAGTAATCACTAAAGCATGAAAACCTATGCAGCGCAAGAATTATCATCTTCAGTCGATTTCTATATATGTTCAGGTGCTTCATGTAAATAATATCCAAACATTCTCTTATTGTCAAACTTTTCGTAACAGTATTGAAGTATAGTAAGCAATATACATGTGTGTTTTGTGCGTTATAACGCCGTATATGTTTACTTGAACATATTTTCACGTACAACAAATGTGTATAGAGAAATATAAACGACAAGGTTTGAAAAAGATTGTGTACACAAAAATAAATTTATTCTCGACTCTTAGTTCGAAATATCATAAAAATTAATATGAGATTTTGACATTTCATAAAACTGAAAACTTGTTTTTCAAAAAGATGCATATTAACATTAGCAAACGTCACACAACAACAGGACCAAGGACCATATTTCGTAAGTAAGAATTTTCTTACACCAATACCATGTTTAAACCCATTTAAAGTTAATAGTTTATTCTAAATGCATGATGTTACGGTACGAACCAACCGGCAGCGAGAAAAGCTAATGTCTACTAACAGAACGCTTAATATAACGTTAATAGTGAAGATCTCGAAGAAGATTCTGCACGTATTTGAATAGTGTTACAAAGCAATTCCCTCAGAAATATTGAACCTTTTGGGACGCAAGCTTTGCATATCACCGGATCGAAAAATTTCAAAAGCTTGTTCGGTCAAAACCGATTACAGATTCGTCTTCTCCATGGTTGATTATATGTTACGCAATAACTTTTGGATCGGAGTAATTTAGAAAAAAATTTTCCCATGGCCTTGCTCAAAAATTTTTCAAAATGTTACCGTATGGGACCAAAGGCAAAACGATGTCGAAAACTTTTTCTAAAGTACCCCGATCCAGAAGGTATTGCGTACCACATAATTAACCATGGAAAAGACGAATCTGCAGTCGGTTTTGACCGAACAAGCGTTTAAAATTTTTCGATCCGGTGATATGCATTTTTTGACTATTATCAGGCTTATATAAATACAGTCTTTATAGTATACTAGCCAAAAGTTTCGAAATGAGATAATCGTTGATGTGTCATGTGTATGATTTCTTTCAGTTTCGCATATTTCGCGATCCCGAGGGAGCCATACGATTGTTGCCAGCCTTAGTGACTGCTTCAAGAGGAGGTATGATGTTGAAATTTAATTGGTCAGAATATACGGTGAGCTTAACATTTCGGGTAAGTTTTACTCTGATCCTAATCATAAGATCTATGTACCTTATTAAAAATTTCAAATCATATCACCGGTAGAAAAATAAAATTTCTTCAGAGTAGCGGAAAAGCACTTACTTCGTCATCTTTAGCACACTCGGCGAGGGCGATTCTTAAAATTTTAAGAAAAATTTTGAAACTAATATTATTTTCTCATGAAAATTTCTTTTTACTATTTTGTTTGAAAATTTTTCCTAAACCTTTGGCTTACGTCTCGCCAAAAGTAGACCATCTTCTGGGTTATTGAGTGTGCTGGAGACGAAAAGGCGCTTTTTCGTGACTCTAAATAAATTTTGTTTTTTTCTTCACATGCATATGGTATCTGATTATAATCAGATTTGTTGCGATTAAATAAGAAATTTTTAGAGGCTCTTAGTACTAATCAGCCGTTATTTTGTTATAAGAGCGAAATCTTATCCAAAACTTTATTAATACTCTCGGTGTTACCAAAAACACAGGCAATCTCTGACAGTATCTTAATACCTAACCTATTCTCACTGTACTAAATTATTAGTTTTATTTCTGTTTTGATGAATGGCTTCGTTGCCAAAGAAAAGTTGATAGACCGTCTACTTATCTTTCAATCAATCATTCCCTTATTGCTGTTCTTTTCTTAATTAAAGATGACGATCGATCGGAGTTACCGTCAGTGATAACCACAACAGACGGTACTCTATTCACAATGGCTCCAAAATTTAGAAAAGCAGTTCGTAAAGCAAGAAGAGATCAGAGTGAAATTAGTCCACTCATCAAGTACGTATTTAATACATTTTCATGATGTTAATAGAACAAAACTTTATTTTCCTTTTCCTTAAGATATTTGATGTTTGGATTTAATATTATATTTTGGGTAAGTTGTTTAAGTCAAATTTACTATCGTTATGGTCAAATTTTCTTTTTCTTTCTAGATACTAGGGTTTCTGATCGCAGCTATTGGCGTTTATGCATGGGTAGAAAAAGAGACATTTCAAAACTTTGGTCGATTGACGATGGGCGGAGCTTTATTTTTTGATCCAGCTTTACTTTTTATTCTTGTTGGTGTAACGATGTTTTTTATTGGTTTTGCCGGTTGTCTGGGTACGCAGGCAGAATGTTTTCCTTTACATATATCAACTTTATGCAAATTTTTTTCATTTAAACATATCAAATTTTAGGTGCTCTGCGAGAAAACACTTGTCTACTACTGTTTGTATGTTTTATATGTTTTTCTTTTTTTGCAATTTAAATCGATTATTTTTCATTGTAGTTCAGTTTTGCTTTGGCCATCATATTTTTTGCTCAACTAGCATTTGGTACGCTGATATTTATTTATCGTGACAAAGTATGTTCAAATTTTTGCTTCACTAGTAAACTTATCCTATATTTATTTACATTTCTTCGTAGGTCAAAAATGAAGCTGAAAAACAGTTATTAGTAATGATAACAAGTTATCGTGATGATCCAGATTTGCAGAATATGATCGATTGGATACAACGAGACTGGGTAAGAAAGAAAGAAAATCTGAAAACTTAAGAAAAAGTCATATTTCACTTGTTTTTTAGCTACACTGCTGTGGCGTGAATTCTTACCGTAATTGGGAAAGTAACGTCTATTTTAATTGTTCATCGAAAACCGTAGGTAGTGTGGAAGTAAGTACAAACAACTGCATTTCTATTTCTGAACGTTTCATAATGTTGTTGCTTTTTAGGCATGCGGTGTACCATCGTCATGTTGCAGACCAGATTATTTTCATGTGCGTAAAAATAAAGAAAACAAATCCTTCTTGCATCATTTACGTGGTCGCTTCTTTTAGAATAACAAACAATGTGGTTATGGCACTCGTGAACCATCAGCGGTAAAATAATTTGCAAATTCTAGTCCTTTTTGTTTCTCTATATTTATACTATAGTTAGCACTATAATCATCCAGAGTTGCCAAGTATTTTTTTAAACCTAACGGGATAACGCAGTTTTTACTACTGTATTCTATGTAGTTTCGAGAGAAAACTGCTTTTTGTTTTTGCAGGAGAAATTGACGAATTAATCAATTTTAGTTTTCTATGTATTTTAGAGTATGCACACGATTTACACTGAAGGCTGCCTCTTGAAAGGTTCTCAATGGTTCGAACGGCATATTTTGCTAGTAGCTATATTTGTTGTTGTTCTTGCAATTCTACAGGTAGAACTTTTATTTTTCATAATTCTACAAATTTGTTGGTTCAAGCTATTTTTCCTTATTTTAGATTCTTGGAATATGTTTTGCACAAAATTTACGTAATGATGTGCTAGCTCAAAAAGCTAAATGGAGCTATTACAGAACTTGATTGATCTTTTTTTCAAATCTTAATCTCACTATTTCGATGTACATCAGGAAAAACTTCGCACATTTTTCGATTTTTTATACACTATTGTCAGATCTTTTTCCACAAAATGAAATTAAAGAGAACGAAAAACGTGCAATAAAAACATGAGCTCAGTTTATATTCCATTTTACTTGACAGCATCTTTTTGTGCTAAAAATACCTTGAATCCATTTCTCACTTTTTTCTCTCCCTTGCTATCGAAAAAAAAAGAGTGCAGATACATGCAGATATTTATCCATTTTTTATTTCTTGTGCATATTGAGATTTTGTTTTTCTGTTACTATTTCTTCTAACAGGTTCATTTCCGTAGTTCTTAGTTTGAATACTTAAAAGTTTTATTGTTAGTCCTGGGTATATATATCTAAACATTTATTAGTTGGTTGTTTATTTTGTATTTTTATGTTTATCGGTGTACATATGAATAAGTAAGTGTTTTTCCTTCTATCTAGACTATGTTTCTGCTATCTTATAGTAATACAGAGAGCATTCTAATTACTATTTGTTTGTCTTTCATCATGTAACTTGGGGTAGAAAGGTGACTATGTTTTTTTTTCATAAGCAACTAGAATGAAGTAACAGTATTTCGGCTCTAAGATAATTTTGCTTATTTACCTAAACTAATTTTTTCTGCTTGGATTATTGACAATATGTCTTTTATGTATTCTGAGGGTAACTATTACCAAAATTTTAATAATTCGCCACGACAGGTAATATATATGTAGAACGATAATTGTAGAAACGAAAGTACCATTTGTTTTTTTTTATATTTTGTTGTTTAATATATCTATATCTAGCTTTTTTTTTACAGTGATCATTAATAAAATTTAATATGAAATCGAATGATAGAATTTCATAGAGCAAAATACGACGTCTGTTTGATAGTGAAGCACTTTTATTTTTAGCACCTCGTATAGTTTTGACTTTTCAGAATTAAGATATTTTAAAATTTATACAGTGAAAAATGGAATATGTCAATAAAGCAGCCGATGCAGCGAAAGCTGGTTTGGGTGTTGCTGGTGACTTTATACAAAAGACAACGCATGGTGTTTCTGAAGCTTTAACTGGAGATGGACAAGAAAAAAGAGATAATAAGTCGTTAATGTGCAACGATTATCAGCACTAATTATCGCATCTCGGCACAGACTAAGTCTGCTAAATTTTATTCAATATTTAGATATAAAGAATGATGTTAATCAGACAAGAAAAAAATCAGAAGTCAACTGAAAAACAAGCAAAAAAAAGACGGTAGTGGAAAAAGGAAAGGAAAAATACCCCACCTTGCGGCTACCGTTGCCGGTGTAGGGTGCTGCCGTGGCAGTCTCAATAGTCCGATATCTTCCCTGCAGTTGACAAGCTTCTGACATGATCACCCATCTCGTTACTAGTTATCAAACTGCAGCTCTTATCATCAGTCCTAAGAACGGTAGGGATGACGAAGGTGACGAAAAAAATGGAGAAGACATCAAATTAAGCCAAAAAATTCAAAGAAACCGAAGATAAAAAGCTTTATTAAACCACAGAAAGATGTGCAGCAATCTGGTTACAAAGATGAATCTATTAGGGTGAATAATGGTTAATATAAACCGACTTACTACTAGAGTTGTGCGAATGTAATTTATTCAAATAGTTTCGCTTCCTAAGTGTTCAGCTCCGATTTATTGATTTTATTTTATTATTTATCTACTAGATTGAAGATGCAATTAAAATACTCAAAGTACAGCATCTCACATTTGATGAATCACCTTTTAATATTACTCTCTGCATTGTTCAAGATACCTTAGATATTAACATACATAAAAAAGACACATCGTCAGCCAGTGATCATGTTGAAAATCGTGTGTGTCCCAATACCGATGAAAATGGTATTGTTGTAGAAGAGCCAAAAGTTGGTTGATGGTTTGAAATTAAGTTTACACGAATAATATTTTCTTTTTCTTTGTTGATTTGTTGTTATTTTTATTTTTTTGTTTGCAAATTCAAGAAGCCAGCGTGTTGTTAGATATTACTTCTTGTCGTTCTTATTCATGAATAAAATTCAACGAAACAAAACGATGCTCGGTGTGGCTCGCTAACTCTGCTACCGTAAAGGAATTTTCATCATTTTTTTGTTTATAAGTCGTAAACCAAGCGACGCAGACAGTTGCGACACGTCCTAAATTAAAGAAAAAACTGCTATCAATATTTTAAAACGCGTTTCAAGTATGTAACATGTCTCATTTTAAAGATCTGACAGAAATATTAGCAACGGCTTTTCACACATTTAAACTATGAGAATCGAAAAGTAGTTGCCAATATTTCTACCAGATTTTTAAAATGAAACATGTTACATACTTGAAACGCGTTTTAAACTGTTTATAGCAGTTTTTTCTTCAATTTAGGACGTGTCGCAACTGTCTGCGTCGTTTGGTTTACGATTTATAAACAAAAATAAATGATGAAAAAACGTTACGGAATTCCTTTACGATTTAGCTGACCGCGTCGTGCTGTGATCTTTAGAGTTAGGAAAAAGTATTTGTTATAAAATGTATATCTATTCTAGCTAACAATTCCGATGAATGTGAACAATTATGCTGCTTCCATTATTTGTTTTAGCTTACTGAAGGATCACTCATACGTAGTGGAAGAATAAAGGATTCGAGTAATTATCATAGTACCTTCAAAATCATCTTATAAAGAACAGTAAAGAGCACATATATTTGTATCGAAATTGTTTCGATTCCTCATAACGTGGGTGATACAATTTAAATATTATTTTAATTAAACTTTATTTATTTAAAGAAACATAAATATCAACACAAACAAGTGGCTACCCATTAGTAGCGTTTTTGACATCCATAGCAATCATAAATAAATAAAAAGAAAAACGAAGGAAAAGAAGACAAACACAACAAATAGTAATTACAGTGGCAAACAGAGAGTGTTGTTGACTGATAAATTACATAAATTTATCATCTTGATCATTGTTCAGAGACGATTTTCATTAAACTTTATTACTCATCTAAGATTAATCGATTAATTAGAAAAAAGTTTATTCATTTCTTTATTTTATTACCTATAAATATTTAATAAATATTTAATACAAAACGTTTAGAAGAACTTTTTACATAAATACACAAAAAGCAAAATAAAACACAAACATAAACAAAACTGAGCTTTGTAAAATTGAGATTCTAATAATCAATCACTTTTTCTTTATGAGCAAAAAACATTTCGTTGCCAGATGATCACCAAACCCTGAAATCGAAAATTTTAGTTTTAGAGATACATAAAAAAGTGCATACTATATCGCTTTACTTGTTGATCACTCGAAGCTAAAAGACTTTCATCTGAATTAAATGATACATCCAATACAGCAGCGCAATGGCCTTGTAATTTGTTTATTAGAGGACGTATTTCCCGATCGATATCATAAACATATACACACATGTCCTCGCTTGCAGAAACTTTAAAATATAGAAAATTTAATCACCAAATTAATGATTCTAATACACTCTCATATACATACCAACGCAAAATCCTTCACGATGTGAGACAACAGGACAAAAAGAACTGCGAACAGTTAAATTTTTTTGTTTGATTGATAAACGTTTCCTAACGACTAGTTTTCCATTCATACTAATAACTCTAACAAATTAATAATGATTATTTGTTCGTTCTTTTTTTCAATTGAACTCACTTAAATACTAATAACAAGTTCGGTATAACATTAGCTAAAATTGATTGTTCCCGACCAACACGCGTAGATCGACATTTATAGGACAAATTTGTTATTGAACCATTGTTACTGGAGAAAACACTATTGAGAAAAGGACGGTTAATGCCGCATTGTTGCATATATCAGCTATTTTCTTTACCGTTTACAAGAGTGCAATTTACCACTTGTCATATCAAAGCAAGCTAAAATGACATTTTTTCAAATAATTAGATAGGAAAACGGCTCACTCTGTCACATCACATTTCTCTCTGATTTTCATCAATTTTACATACCTGAAAATAAATTTCCACGATCATCGCCTATGACAAATAGACAAATAGTCAAGAAAATGGAATAAAGACAACCAGATCATTCCTGTTTTCGCTTACATGTCCATAATATTGTTCCAGTATCATCGAATATGACACACATTGATCGTCCGTAACATTTAACGACACAATTCTAGAACAGAATGATTAGTCAAAGTTGAGTTTTGCCACAACAAGAAAAAGTGTAATTGAATGTTTTTTTCAAGATCAAGAATAAACAAGTACTTTAAGCGGTTTGCCAGTCGATACATTGAAAAGTGTCAGTAGTCCACGATTATTTCCAACCTAAAATTTATATAGTTAATATCGTATTAAACAATTACAATCTCTCTTTTATTTTCTTACCGCGATGAAATTATTATTAATGGGATGAAAACAGCAACAAAGATTTCTAAATAGAATTGACGTGTATAATTTATCATAGTAAAATGAAAATGTAACGTGAAACTTACTCAGTTCCAGGCATATGAGTATTTTCTATAACTCTCATACATTTTCCTTTTGATACTTGCCAGATGCGAACACTAGCGTCACTACTTGCTGTAACTAGTAGATCGTTGGTTGCTGACCATTGCATATCTAAAGAATAAATCCATTTAGTCATTGTAAAATAAATTATAAATAGACGAACCATTGATAGCAGCAGTATGGCCTTTTAGACGAAAAATTACTGTTGCAGGTTGTGGTATTAGTTGACAAATGACCAACATTCCATCTTTACCACATGTCGCAAGTAAACCCCTATCATTCGGACTAAATTGTGAGCGTGTAACTACAATATATAAGAAATTTATAGAAAAGCAAATGTCTGTAATTATTGTCATACCAGATCCTTTATGATGATCAAATATGTGGTATACTCCAGCGAATGCATAATTTTCTTCTAATGATTTTCCCATTGCCAATTGTCTACATGTATAAAAAACTAGTAAACTATTTGGTAAGTGGGCAAAGATATGTCATTTACCTGCTGGAATGTGATACGTCGGATAGGGACGAGGTAGAAAATGAACCAACATTTTTTTCTGGTATATCATGAATTTTGCGCTGTAAATTATTATTTTTTCTTGTCCAATCAGCAAATGAATCAGCACTCTATTAGAGAGAAACACACACACACATACATAAAGAGTTTTATACTTAAGTTAAGGAAAATTGTATATACCTCAGCTACCGAGTTAATTCGGCTTGAATGACTTCCACTTGATCTATATAAAAACGACTAGTATTAGTTTAAGGGATTGTCTAAATCCCGCAAATGCAAAGATTACCTGCTATCAAACAGCACTGCACCACCATAACGTGATGACAAGGCAGCATATCTCAAGGATAAATAACGTTTTCGTATTACAGCATCTTTCTAACATAAACACACTGTCAAATTATACTATGATGACAATTATACAGTTTTAATACTTACATCGGTCAAACACAGTTCACGTAATAACTGACTTCGTCGACGAATATAGAGTGTTTCTAAAATATGTGGAAATATATTCTATTTTTTAAATTCAATCTCAGAGTACTACACTTACTGAATTGAATATTATTTGGTGTTCTATAGCCATTGTAACGTGCGTCTAAGGCTAACAATTGTTGCCAAATAGTTGACATAAACAATTATTGAAAATCATGAAAAATACGACTTAATAGAAATAAATATGTTGCACATTAGGGAAATGAAAAAAAAGAATGAATTTGTACAAAAATAGGAAGAATATTCAATCTGAAACGACGAAAAAATTCAGAAAATTATTTCTTAGGAGAAGTTATATAAAGTAGAAAACCGAGCTGATTGGTACTCTTAATATAGATCTCTTTACCAGGCAAAAAAAAAATAAAGAGTGAAAAAGTAGATTTATAACGAGTTATTTTCCACAATAATCGATGTTGATATTTGTTTGTCAGGGATGCAAGTTGGCATTCAATCTTTGAGATAAAAAAAGTCATATAATATACAGAAATCAAACTGAAAAGATTAATATCATGTAAAAAATAATAATTTAACTTTTGAGATAGTTCTAGTTTAATTAATCGACAATTACATTCAAATTATTTCATCTGTAATTCTGTTAGTGTTTTAAGTTAACTAAATTTTTAATAAATGATTATTGAAATTTCTTCTGAAACTAAATGGAGAAAAAGACTATTTTTCGATTATATCTATGTCTAACTGCAAGTATGACAACCATTTCCATTTGATGTTATTGTTGTTACTTATTAAGGAAAATATTTTGTTATTATTTGTAAAATGTTGTTTTTAGACATATTTTCTATCATAAACAAACTCAGTTGTACACGTTGTCTGTAGTATTGTCAGGTTCTACTCTGACTGATTGAACTTTATGTCAAATTTGTTCCTTTTTCACTGGCATTGTTATTAAATCATTAGATAGAAATGGTTGAACATAGCTGAAGTTTTGTACAAAATGATCGATCTGTATATTTTGACATACAATGACTGCCGTCGACTAGCGAACCTTATCGATGAATTGGTATTACTCATGCTGAAATCAATCGAAGAGGAAGCTTAAAATTATTTTCTAACATATAGTGCAAAACGGTGCTGGAATATATCATTGAACATGTTGATTTGACAACTATGTTGGTGATTCTGGTAATAGTAGGGGTGATCTTGCCTGTGGCAGAACTGTGGCCATTTCAAATATTGCTAATCGATTTGTAATGATGTTACATTTGTAAAATAACTGACTATTAGACATATGAATCACTAGATTTTAATTGTGATGAGCGTAGTTGTTAATGGTTTTTTAGCGGTAACATCATGCGATAAACCCATCTAGTATTGATTGGTAACTGTGTAAATTGAACACCATTTTGTTAATATATAGATTAACAATACATTGACGTTTGAACCACACGTCGGTTTGAATTAATATATGATCGTTGTTTGTATTCGTACCACCAGCTATAACAGCAAATGGATAGTGGTTAAAAAAATGAAATTTTTGTAAATTTTTACTGTATTTTGACTATGAAGAATCATCTCATTTATATTCGATATAAAGTACATTATCAACAATTCAAAGATAGAACGTGTTTTTAGTCATAATAATATTTGTATATATATTTATGATCTAATATTTCATATAGATAATTTGAACAAAATACAACATTCATACGTGAATTCTAGAAATAAAAGAGAAATATAAATTGGAACCCAGTAAAAACACTCACAGTATCTGACAAAAAGTGCTATTGAACAGAACTCACTATAGAAAAAATTATTTTATTTACATCAATATATCCGTTTAACCATGTTACTCAAGCGTATTTACAAACCATGCTATTTTATATTTGACTTCTTTTTCGTTTCTCTCTCACCTTTTTTTTTCTTGCAATTGTTTTTTCTTTTCGTTATTATAAGTTGTTTTACACTATCATTGGATTATAATTTTTGTATTTGCAGTAATATTTTTTGTATTAGTAGAACGATGAATTTATCAGATGAAGAACTATTATTCTTTGGCTCAGATCAATGCTATTTTTCTTATCATCCCGGTGTAGCACAATCATGTCAGATTCATTCATTAAACGAAGTATCACCTTCAGACCTTGACTACGCTCGCGATGAACTTGTTTCACACGCAGCAGCATCAACCTCTCTTTATGCTCTCTGTGATGATGCTGAAGATAAATCTGATTGGCAACTATTAGCAATCCCTAATATGCCTGTAACATTTATTCAAATACAGAGAAATATCCCATTTGAGCAGCGAAATTACGATACAACATATTTACCAGTTGTGTTGCGCAAACCATTAATTAAGATAAGTCAAACAAGCACTTTAACTGGTGTGATTTCTGGCGTAAGATCAGCATTGATTAAAAGCACGACGAATACTAATAATAATCCTGTCTGGTATCGTTTAAAAGGTTGTGGTAATAAGACAGATGGTTTCTTAATTCAAACATTGTCAGCAGATAATACAAAAAAATCAACAATACGTGGATGTGCATTTCTCCACACGACATATCGTGAACTATACATGACAAATTATATTGGTCAATTACTATTGAAATATTCAATTCAGTGTGCAAATAGCTCGATTGGATGGTTTGAATACGAACAAGATCCGACTGATAAAACTCCGTTTATCAATAGTCCTGTACAGACCGAAATTTCAATACTACCAACATTACAGGACAGTAACCTGCGATTGTGGTCAGCTATTCGACGTACTTGTATTCTCATGAAAACATTGGGAAATAAACGATTGTCTGATAATGTTCTTAATGGATTAGAACATTTATTTCGATATATTATTATACCTAAAACCGACCAACATCCTGTTGTTATGGCCAATTTTGACTTATTATCATTGTTTCCTGCGCAACGATTAACCCAATCTGAACACGATAATACTCAACAAGTGCCCTTACCAACTTGGTTCACTACATTAGACACCAGCTTAGTTCCATTAGCCGATTCTCTCACTAACTCGCAATGGCTACATCATTCTTCTAGAATATCATGTGAACTACCGGAAAATATTGATCAACGATGGTCAGCGTTATGGCAAACAAATGTAAACATTGTAAATAATAGTACAACATCCTTGTCTAAACTGCTGTCTTTACTATATAGTCGATTTGGTATCGAATGTGGTTATATTTTAGGTATAATGCATTTAAATCGTATTAGCTGGGGCACTTACAGTGATGCATTAGGCATTCATTGCAATGCACATACAAATAATGTTGTAATTAAACCTGAAACAATGATGACTGATTCAGCACAATTTCTATTAGCTCCATTAGATTTTGATATGAGTTATACGGAAGCAAGTTACTGGCCTCAATCTTTACCGCAGAAAGAGCAACAACAACAGTCGTTTGATGAACAACTCAATCTTGAATTATCTGGCTTCAGAATGAGTTTAGCTGGAGATTTTCAATCAAATAGTGGAGTAACTAAAACAGTAGATATGTCTGATAATCAATGGGAAAGCGTGCGATGGTTATTACGTGACACAATATTAAGTCAGTTTGATGTTGCTTATAAAACAGTCAAAGAACAATTACATACAAACTTATCAGTGCAGAAAACATGTTTGCCACCACTAAGTGATAATCAATTTCATGTAATGTATGCATTAATTCGTTTGGCATTGATTTTGACTCTGAATGAGACAAGTTAGCTATCTAGTTGAAATTTATTATAATGCGAAGTAATGACATAATATTACGATGTTAAGGCCTGCAACTATATCAGAACTGTTTTTCACTATTTATCTGTTATTGATCAAAACTCCTAGGGAATGTAGCTAGAGATTAATAGAGTTCGATTTTTGATATTTTGTCCTTCAAAGTGCTGGAAAACTATTAACATTCTCAAAAATATTTCTCCCATTAAACCATAATTTACAAAAGCAAATTCTGATCAGAAAAAACTGATCAGAATTCTTCAACGTGTAATCTAGTAGAAAATTTGGGTACTGCAAAACGTCCTGAATGAAACATTGCCTTTAAGCAAGATTCTTATTCTCAGATTCTCAATATATTTATAACTTTTCATTGTGACAATATTCTTAGCTGCGGAACATCTCGTTTTGGTCAGAAATGTTTTCTCTACAAAAGTTCTAACCTTTAAAATTTTATAAAAAGAGCGCATTTCTTTAAAATATCACCTTTTTAAGGCTTTTAGAAAACTTTCTAAAAAAAACTTCATAATCCTTCGATATTAGCAAAATCAATATAAATTCCAAGAGCAGCCATCAATGTGAGCTTTTTACATGAATTTAATATTTCTGACACGAAAGAGAGTGCTTAATTCATACCAGAGATAACTGTGTTTCATCTGCTAACATTTTGTCTATTTAAAGCAAAGCATGACCGTATTCGTTCATGTATTCTCCATTCTGCAATGTACAATTTTCTAATCTTACTTGTATGAGCAAATACAATTTGAGTAAATTTTAATTCTCTATGGCTAAATGTTTTAAATATATTTTCATTTCTTTTGCTGTACATTAAATCAACGTTAAAATCTGAAGATTTTTTATCAATGAATGATCTTTTTTGAAAATATTCTAACAGGATCATGTGAACACACATTATTCAATGTTAAACGATATAAATCATTAATAATTGTTATTTGAGGCAATAATATGTGGAAAATAAATGAAAACTTTGAATGAGTTAAAATTAAATGAAAGATTTACGCAATGTTCGTAATCACTGCTTCATACGTACATTCAAACCCAAAAATGAATACAATATATCAAACGGTAACATGTAAATAAACACTTGTAACAACATCTCGTTCAGTAAATCTTCAATTACTCACGATGATTTCATATTGGATGATCTAAAATCAAAACGAGTCGAACACATAGTTTTACGCAGATTTAAGTTAAATGTAAATCAAGATAAAGCGATTACTCCCGCCGATATGCACAATAAAATGAATAAAAGTTCTTTGACTTCACTTTTCATCATTTACCGTTGTGTTTTTTTTTGCGTAAAATGAATATTTTGAATTTAAAGTATTGGGTACTTGTTTATTTCACCGTATTGAAGTTACAAATAGATCGTAAAAACCAAAAAACGTTCTAGCACATACATATTTATTATCAACCAGTTACAGAACTTCATCGTACATGTGATCTGTACGGGTGTTCTTTCATTGCACACACCAAAAAGAGCATCTTTATATTTTTAAAATTTTTTGAACACTGTGAAAGAAAAAAAGTAAATCACAACAACACCAACAACAACAACTACAGAATATAAAAAAATAACATTTTCCTAAACTAGGAAAGATGAACCGTCGTTGCGAACGGTCTGACAAAGAATATTTCAGCAAAGATTTTTTTTTAATACAAAAAAAACGAAAAGAAAAACTGACTGATAAAATAATGTTTCTATACCTCGTTCGATCTATCTCACTGTGTAGCTGTTTAAGAGAACGATATTTTTCTGATAAGTATTATTTCATTGCTTAGAGAAACACCACTTGTTTACTAGCATTTCTTGCTCAGCACTCATGTCGCCAAAACATAAATTCTTTTTGTGTGATCATGCAGAAAAACACGCAAAAACATAAGTTGCGTAACGCAAAAAATGGTTACAAAAGCGAAATTCTGCAAATTCTAGAACAAAATAGCTACAAAATTCTGTAGTAGGCGACCTTTTTGCAAAATTTTGTACGAAAGTTGCTATTTTTTGCGTAGAAACTTTCTGAAAAATGGCGACATGAGCATGTCTTGATCACGATTTCGACGTAATTCGTCTTGCACATATCACAAAGTACTAAAAGTTTTATTTTTCATTCCTGTAGTCCGTACGGGCAGATAAGAAGTTTGCGTAGGAGAACGAGAACGAGAAGACGATAAAAATCGTTTATGTCCATTATTTTGAAGTTTTTTCAAACGTCGATGTTCTTTTCTTTTCTTTTTTCTTTGTCGTTTTTCGCGCGATACAGGTGACAATGAACGATTTGACGATAAAGATAGACGACGGGATCGATACTGGTGATGGTAATGAAGAGAACAATCATCATCTTTTAGATCACTGTTAGGTTCACCAATTTGTTCTACTGGTGAACGGCTACGATGTTTAAATTTTTTATTGTGTTTATGTTTCTTTCGTTTTTTTTCATGATTTCTTTTTCTTTTACCACCCAAAATTTCTTGTTCATCCATCGATTGTGATATGTCATTCTCTACTATTTTTTGATCAGCATCATGTACTATTAATGCGGATTGAGCGGTAACTCTATTTTCGACTGATGTTTCTTCTGGAATTAGTGGTTGTTTCTCTTTGATACCATCGATTTTTTTCTCAATTGATAAATGATCTGGTGATGGTGAAGATGAATCACCGTCATTATTACAATAATGCTGAGATATTGATTTTAGTCCATTTAATTTAGCATGCCCATTTCCATTTGATAATGATGGTGCTTTTGTTGGTGATGTTTTAATGATAATTTTCAACGGAGAGGATGTCGATTGAACAGTTGATGTTACGGATGTTGTTGAATATGAAGAACAGCCATTTAATTTTTTCGATGGTATTTCTTCAGCTGGTATATTCATTATTGATAATGATTTAGGTGATTTAACAACGGGAGATAGCGTTGTATTCGATGTAGATACAGTTAGAGACTGCTGAGATGAAGCAGAATTCAAATTTGGACATGAAAATTGTTGCTGAGATTGCTAAAAAAAGAGATATTATTAGTTCTTTGAAATATTAACGTAGATATGAGAGAAACGTAACTTTCTGGTACAATCGACATAAAAAAAATGAAAGTGTTCATAAAAAATGATATGTTTTGTTCCCCTGTCTTTGCCGAGTATCCTATAAAAATTTCCCAACTGCCAGACTCATACTGGCTGAGTTAGGAGCGAGACAATTTTCAGTTTTTGCCATAGAGAATTTTTGGCAGGATTTTGCTAGAAAAAGGGTTGAAATAGATGTATTCTACATCGTTCGACAGAGAATGATTCGAGCAGTACAGTAGGACTGTGAGCAAATGCGTCAAGCCGAAAAACCGCAGAAAAGTTTTTTCATTCTTTAGTGTTAAAATCTAAAAAGTCCGAATTTCGTTATGTGATTCTACTTTCAGAATTATCCATTATTTTAGCAA